GGGCATAAGGGACCTCCTGAATTTAGTATAGAAATGATTTAAATGTACTTTTTGTTATTATGGACTTTTTTTTAATTATTTTTGATCATCGAAGGTTACTGGTTGGGGAAATATAAGAAGGGCACTTGAAAAATCATAGCATAAGCCAGAAAATCGTAGATCGACCCTGAAATTAACATATAGTGCTATTATATAGTGAGGCCTTGGAAATGTGTATCAGTTTTATTGGTACAACAATGCATTTTTAAATTAGTGTATCTTTCAAAGCGCGAACGATTGAATGTTCTATTTTATCTTCGCAAGGAAACTCGTGCAATGAATTACTTATGGCTGGAAACGCAACTATCGTGATCCGCTGGCTCCAATACCAGTACGCGGTATTAACATATCAACGCACGGTAGGCGGCCGCGAGCATTACTTCCCGTCTCCGAGCACGTCGCGCGACTCCTCGCGAGGTATTTGCGTTCCCATTAAAGCGGCCGAGTAATTCCCCTTGCCGGAATCGTCGAACACGACTCTGTCGTCGACGATCCAGCGGCTGTAGCGGATCTCCGCGACGAGACGGAGGCCCAGTTTCAGGGCCAGCGACTGGCTCGGGCCCGACGTGAAGACGCCGCCGATGGCCGGCATGCCCAGCGTGGACGCGACTTGGACGCAGGCCCTCAGCAAGGCCGCGCCGACGCCTCTCTGCTGATGGGACGGATGGACGCAGAGAACGTGAACTCTGAGATACGCGTCGCAGCCGAGCGTCCCGTGCACGTTCGCCCGTTTTATCAGAGCGTTTATCAGGCCCATGATCTTCTCCAAGGCGTCTCCCTCGAAATTCTGAACCAACCAAACACTTCCTTTGCGTTGCATAATTTATATAGAGTATCTTGGGACTTATCTCAAGACAGTACTCATATTTCGATTTTATTTCTTATGTAAAATCGTCTTGACTCTTAGGCCGGTATTCATAGTCAGATCTTATATCCAAGACCGTCGTAAGATCATCTTTAGACACTCCGTAGCCAATAAAATGCTCCATACAGCAACTTTAGATACATTCAAGATGGTCTTGAGTATAAGATTTGCTCTAGTAGTTTTACACATTAATTTAAAAAAAAATCTTTCGTTAAAATTTAAAGATTAAGCACGATCTCGAGATTGTTATTTATTAATATTAGGAAATATTATTTTCACTACAATTATGTCTAGATATATTGAGATGTTTTAATATAAAGATCGACCTGCCCGAATGCTGCGTCCAGGTTTCCCGTTTGCATATATAAAAAGAAAATCTCTGTATAATGTAATGGCAGCATTCGAGCACATGTCGGAAGCCTCAATAGCTCGCTATTATCGTTACGTCGAGCCCTCGAGATCGCGCACGCACTTGTACTCGATTATACGTGTCGCTTTTGTCCGAATTGCTGTTGATTCGCGTAACGGCAACTCCAACGACTCGTCCCGATGCCAGACTGTGCGCGACCAAACTGATGGTGTCTTTCATCCACATTCTAATAAGATTTAGGTACGCGCCGACGGATGTCTGATCTTCCAGCAAGGCGACTGCTCTGCACATCGGCTCCTCCCGGAAAAAATGATGCTACGAAAAAGTCGATAACCTTGATTTGTATACAACATTCGTGGGAAACGATTGGAAATCTATTATTCTATGATTTTGATCAATTATTGCTAGAAAATGAGCCGATGAGCTGGAATGAAATGACAAATCCATTTGATATCTGACGAGAGTTCCCCGAAATAGTTTCCCCGATCGAGCTTGAGTGGTCACGTTACGATCGCGTGACGATAGCACGCGGACGATAAATGAGATGTGCGTGATTTTTCTAGCCGGATTTCATCGGGAAAAACATTTTGCAAATGAGAGGAATAGGAAAACACGGAACAAGGAAAAGTCGAAATAAACGTCATTAACGCGTTTTCGCAAGATCAAGGCTTGTAATTAATTGCCGTTCAACTAATCAACATGGGCGCGCTGTTCCCTCTAGGCTTTTCCGAACTTTTATCAGACGTAGAGCTTCCTCGTACTGCGCTTCCTTGAGATCCTGTATTTTGCATATCGCCGGTGAGTCCCACTCCAAAGGCGCATACATCCTCGCTTCCATCCCAATTAATTCGTTCTTCTTTTCCTCATTCATGACGATACTTTTAACTGCACATTAAAACTCTCGAGTCTTGTTCCGTTCGTAACAACAATTTTATCATTGGCAATGGATAGTCTAAATTACGTTTCGTCTCGAAATTTCTTCTGTCAATTCACAGTTTGAAGTGAGTTCTTTTTTTATCTGTTCTAATATTTAATATACATAATATATTCCTATTTCCAATTTCCTCTATTGTGCGCAGGGTCTTATTTAATAATTATTCCTTCACGTTCGTTAAAGTTTAATAAATGTATCGTTTAATTCGTAAGCGAAATGTAAAATCAAGTTTCACCAAATGTTTTTAATATAATTATGACTTTTTTGCATCCTAATCAATAAATTCCAATTTTTCTCGTATGCGTTGAAAAACGCGCGGAAAAAGAACGAACGGTAAAATCATGTTGGAAAGTCTTGCCAAGTTAGTGATGTTTCATATTAAAGTAAATAACCGATAAAGATTGCTATACGAAATTACGTAGAAGAATTTCGTAATGTGGAAAGGTAAAGAGAAATCGGTGAAATTCTGACTCGAAGGTCACTCCATAGCTTGTATAATATTACCGTAATCTTTATTATTAAATCCACTTCTAACCGCAAGATAAAAATATACTCTTAACTGAACTGTATAAAAAACTTCTTACTTCAAACACCGAAACAATTATTACAAATCACATAATCTTGTAGCGTTTTTGTGTTATTTGGTACTACATTTTGCGTAATACATAGATTCATATATATTATGCTTTTACTTATATTACAATGTTGATTATAATATATTATATTATAAATTACATAATGTGTATAATCTAAAAAGTTTTTAGAACCACTAACATCAAATACGCTCTATAAAATGTATAAAAAAACAATTTCTTAAAATTTCAGCATTTTAATATACTCGCAGTTACCTACACCGCAATCTTTACCTTTGACTTATGCGCAAATTACAGACATACAAATTACAATTCATCCCTCAAATGTCTAAAAGTATTGCCATGGGATTTCAACTGGCGTGTTAAGGAATCCCAAAAAGTCATTCTTTGCCACAGAAGATTATGATCCATAGCAATTTTCGTTGAGCTTTCTATGCGCAGGTATTCCAGTGCGTCGTCTGTTTTCACGGGCTTCCATTTCAATGGAACTATATTTGTCACTTTTGGCGTAGGATTTCTGAAATAATATTTATTTATGTACTACTAGAGAATATTTCGTGGCTTTGTTTTATCGAAAGGAGAGGACCGGTCTAGTCGCGGAAATACAAATAATGTAAAACATGCGGTCTAACAAAAATCGTTGAATCAAAGTTAATCCAATAATTAAATAGCTAATCTAATTTTACGCTTACCATTCTATTATTAATTATACTTAAATCTTATTATGATGCAAATTTTCAACATTTTTTTATGGATTTAACTATACTTTCTTACATTCGCTATCACTTAAACATTACTACTTACCCGGAATTTGCAAAATTATACCAAAGATAAGTCATGAGACTGATCATTTCTTTATCTTTCTCAGACAATGGCGTGTCCGGAAACAATTGTTCACCCACGGGGAACAAATATTGCAAATCATCTGCGTGCGATACTCCATAATTTTTTACGGGATCACCAAATATCGAAGTGAAGGACGCACTTCCTCTGTACGCGAAATAATAATAAAAGACTGGTGAAGTTTGGTTTACAATAAAATCTTGCACAGCTTCGTAAGTACCGTGGTTAAACCATGAGTCACTATACATCTGTAAAATCACATCATTGAAACATTAACTTCATTTTGTTACATTAATTTTTCGTAGGTACATAAAAGCAATGCTGCCACATTAAGTTAAATTAAAATATATAATTATATTTAGATATTAATGTTTTAAATTATATAACTCCTTGAACTCACGTCGACAACTTTGAATCTGGAATCCTCCGTGGAATTGATAGAGTCATGGCCGAAATAAAAATTTCGAATGGAGCTGCTTATTTCATTTTGCAAATTCTTATTCGTGACGTTATATCTCTCGTCGTAAAATAAGCTTATAGGCGCAATTTCGTTAAAATTATTCTCCAATTCCTCCACACTGTTCTCCCGTCCGTAAATACCTGAAAAGTGTCATAAATATTCTCTTGACTGACATTTTATTTGCTTATATAATTTACAGAAAATTATTAAATCTGAAATTCCTCATTGAAGGATTTTTGAGATTTCTAAAAATCACTTTATAAGAAATTGATAGACATTTTTAAAACAAATTTTTCTAGCGGAACTTTTAACAGTCGGTATTAAATTAAAGTTATTATTGTATATAAATTTGTTTCATGCTACCCAAATTGAATTCAAGCATGTTACCCCTACCTGCTACTTTCAGAGCTCCTTCATCAGAAGTAACCCCCGTCATCCAGGGTATATCGAGAAGGCGGCCTTCTCGTACGGAAATTAGAGGATCCTCCGTCAGGAAAGCACCTGGGTGCTCGGGTTCAATTACCGGTCGGAATGGTATCATCGGACAGTAACCAAATTTCTACGAGAACACAATAAATTAATTAAACTATAGAAAACATGGGATTACATCGATAACAAATACACCTCGTGGAGAAACAAGAGTAGGTTGGTTTATTGAATAACAAACATAAAAAAAATATAGAGACGTAACATCTCCAAAAATACAAAATAAAACAGCGAGTTCAAGTATTACAAATTTAAAAAAAACAGAATAAAAGCATTCGAAATCTTCTTAATCGGTTGCTACGATAGAGAAGTCATGCTTGTCATACATGCGTCTTGCTGCTCGCTTTTCTATTTCAATATCAGCTGATGGAGATGCGTGATACACAGACGTGAATATCAATTACACGCGCGGAAAGCATGCAATCGGCACGTACAAATGTGCACGCGCGTATTCGCCAAACTGGTTTTTCTCGTATTATCAGAACCCTGATAAATATTTATCCATTATATCAATCCGATATCTTTATCTTCGAAAAGTAACACATCTTAAAAGTATCCATACAAATTCTCAATAATCGAAATATTACTCTCATTATCAGAAGGATGTTTGTATCAAAAGTTCTACCGTAATTAAGAAATCTGGCGAGCAATTTGATTATTAGGAAAACTAAAATAGCAAAGATGAGAGAATTTTATTTGTTAATGATCAGCTTTTAACTTCGCTTTAATTTTACATTAAGACACACCTATTCTAAAGTGGTAAGCGATGCGAGACTGTTGCGTGACCGTCCATGGATAATTTACATGCACCCGTATCGATCAAGTGTCTACATGTCAGCACATATAATTTCTGGGACTGATGCACGCACAGATACAGAGCTTATCTTGCAGTTGCACCTTTAACCGCGCATGAATGCATTGGAAACATTTTGAGTAAGGAGTTAATGTAAAACGTGAGTACTGCAAACCAGGCGTGAAGCCTTTTAAGCACAACCGAGATTACATCAGAGATGATAAGTGACCTATATACATAAATTATGCATATAAATATATCTCGGATATACCGAGACAACTTTCACGCAAATTTATTAATTTCACGCGATTTAACGCGATGAATAACGTTTTCACATCGGTGTACGACCGAGCGAGCACTGATTGACAGCGAAACGGATCTGTGCAGATAGATGTCGAAATATTGCAGATAAGTAACGAAATACATAAGAAATGCGCACATGGCACGTGAAAAAAAATCATTTAATTGACAACATTTGAAATCATTAAAGTATTCGGATCGAATAGCAGCAACTATTTCACTATTGCAAAATGCCTTCAATTAATCGTGATTGCGAACTCGCCAAGTTTGCTATTTACGTATCTACTGATGGCAGATAAATTAATTTTAATGTAATTACCTTGAAAAGATTGTCAGTGCCAATAATCTCTTCTGCGCTCTTTGTTCGTAGACATTCAATGAGATCCTTGGATTTTTCGGTGCTACACCCTAAATTCTTGCCCAAGAACATGGCTCTTCTTTTGGCAACTCCCGGCGACGTTAAAGTCCACGGGTTGTAGAAGGTGCCACTCTGCGAAATACCGCGATGGAACAGTCCTGCGTGATTGAGAAAAAACGTAAACATTTCCCGGTCGTCAAAACGAGTTATGCCAATTAAAGCATGATGCTGCAAAAGAACGCGTTACTAATGTCCGATTGCTTCATTAATAATACAAACAATACACGCGGAGCGTCGGAGCATTTTAAATAACAGATTAGATATTTTTTCCGGTAATGCAAAATGCTAAATATTAGCTGATCTCGAAATCGATTCGTCGAGCTTCGGATTTGCAGTTCAACTTTGATGACTCATTAACACTATTAACTACTTCCAGGAAGAAGATATGATATTGTGAAACGTGTTTCTTCGTATACTGATTGAAAATTCGCGTTGCGTTTATGAGTTGTGATGTAAATTGCAACTGATATTATGCATGCGCGTGTGCAAAGTGTTATGCATGCGATCGATTATGTATCACTTAATGACGGAGTCGTTATATTACTAACACCCGATGAGTCGTAAAGATTTTTTAGTAAAACGTACATTAACATTCCAGCACCTGCTACACATCTCGTATCAAGGAAAAATTTCGTAATAATCGATCCGTTTTCCCGAGACGAATACAAATGGTGCAAATCATATTAACTGGCGCGTTTCTGGTGCAGTAATAAGAAATATAATAATGTATTCTTTAAAATTTACTTATTTCAGATAAGCAGCACTTTCATTCGTACCTTCTTTCTAATTTTTCACTGCAAAAGAGATCTTTAACACTTATAATATTTATTTTATTACATTTTATAATACTTACATTTTTCAGCATAGTATTATCTTACACATCTATGTTTCCAAATATATTGCGTTAACGTAATTCATTTAAAAGAATTTAATAATATCGCTCAAACTTTACCTGTTGAAAGAGGGCTGACCATATGATAGTGAACACTTGCACCACCTGCGCTCTCGCCGAAAAGAGTCACTCTATTCGGATCGCCGCTAAAGTAAACGATATTCTCGTGCACCCATCGCAAAGCTTGCAGTTGATCCTTTAATCCTAAATTTCCAGGACATTCCAGATCCTCCGTGCTCAAGAAGCCCAACGGTCCTAGTCTGACGTGAGAAATTTATATATCGTTATGCAACTACAACACCAGTTTCTCTTTCGTTACCGACACCGATTTATCAAGGCCGGCGTTAGACGCGTGCAACCGGTGCGTCGCACTTTGATCGGCTTTGCGATTTGATCAGTCCTGCTCTCCCGCGCTAATCAAGTAACCAAATTCGTTTTTTGCTTGCACCCAGCCTCGGTTAGCTTAGAACCGGCTCTGCGATTTATTGTCGTAAATATCGCAACTCTTTTACAGTTAAATAACACTTGTAACATTGATAATGTGAAAAATAAAGCTGCGTCTCCGCGTATAAAAAAAACAAGACTTGTAGAGAATCAAAACATTTACTATCAGGCTTAAATTGTCAGTCAAGCTTTATTACCGAAAGTTGACGGTGACGAGGACGAGGTCGTGGTCCAGCAGAAACTTGGGCCCGTAATATTCAGAGTGGCCGGCCCCAGTGAGCCATCCGCCACCGTGGAACCAAACCATGACCGGGAATCGAGTAAAGGCCTTCCACGGCCGTTGTTGCGGACCAGAACTCGGCTGTTCTTCGGTGCATTGTACACATGGCGTATAGACGTTCAGGTAAAGACAATCCTCGCTGCCGACAATCTCCTTCTGATAGACGTAAACGTTCCGTTGCGTGCATATCTCGGCGTTTGTCGTAGCGTCTAGGGCCTCGTTCCAGGTCGGAGGTTGCGGTGGCTTTGAAGAAAACATACCGTGCAATTAATTTCGCGTAATTTAACTCGCGACGACTTTGAGCTATTGAGGCGCATATTTGCAAAATTGGCTCGCTTTATCTAAGCGAAAGGACAGATCGACGATGTAAAAGAAGCGCGATGCAAATGAGTGCAGTCTGGTTCAGCCCCGTTTACACATGCGATGATTAGTGGCGTCGACTGACTGACAATCTGACATTTATTGGGTCTAGAAAATGTCGTGTCAAAATGTCAATTGAGACTGTAAGCTACGAACATATAACCTTAAACTTTATACCTGGCCTAAAGCCCGTAGCAGACTACGGATTGAGATTGAGATTAGATTGAAATTTGATCAATTAGAGTAAAATTTACTAAACTTGAGATTAGTAAACTTTCTTCAGACCTGGCGCCAGTACTGCTAAAAGTTGAAGTATTTTAACTGTTGATTTTCTGGCGCCAGTAACTGCCGTTATTTATAAACGCCACATTATTTACGTGTGTAAACAGGGCTTTAGACAATGTGTAGTCGAGAGATATAACGAATTTCCGGAAATGCGTTTTATTAAGCAGATATTAAATGATTTATCGACAAATCTGCAGAGGGAAGCAGCAATTGTGTGATGGTATTTGCATTTTCTCAAGAGTAAATACTTTTATCGTTAACAATTTTCACTTGAGAAAATCTTTCTTGAAAAACCAACGTTTTATAAAAGCCGGGGCTTCGTCTAAAAATGTTTCGATAAAAGTTATTAAAAAATTAAGAGCATACAAAACACAATTGAATTGTCAAGATTACTAAAAAACTAAAAGTATAGTAATTGCAACATTCGAAAGTTCCGCTTGCGCGAACAGCAGCGGATAAGCTAAGTCGATAAGCGGCAATTATCAATCCAGGAATGAACTTATACAATTCCAATTAGTCCAATTGATCAACGTTATTTCATTGCTAATAGCATAAAACCACGCAGTCAAGCTTCTAGAAATTATAAAAGTTAATTACAAATTAAAGAAGGCGCCGAATGTGCAATACGTCGGTAATGAAGGGACGATTCGAGCGCGGTTCGGTTCCGTCGTTCCCGCCAGTCGTTTCATTTCCACGGCGCAGCGCGCGCGGAACCGGCGGAACGACGCCACTGTCGAAAATGGACGAGCCAGCGGGATGCCCGTCGTCGCTCCGCGGAATTTTGTGAGTATCGCGTCGACCAGCACAGTAAACGGTCTCTTTCCGGGCACGACGACGCGCCGGTGACGAGCGATCGGGCACGACCAAAGTCGTCAAAAACCCCTCGCGACGCGTATCTCGCGCAGGTCGCGTCGCGCGACGACCCCCCGGCCCGTCTCGCGTTGCGTGAGAAAAACCGCGAGCACGTATATCGGGAGCGTCGAGGGGAAAACGCCGGTCGGGAGCGAATTATCGGGAAGCATCGCGGGAAGATACGCGAAAACGCGCGTGGCGTAGCGCGACCCAGTCGATTCGACATCGGTCGACGAGTTATTTCTCGCTGGGAAGGCATCGACGAGGCGCCGATAGTTTCGCCAATTCCCGCGATTTCCGCGTAACAATTGAGCCGAGCTCGGCGACTCGAGCATCCACACGAATATCGTGTAAAGTATTCGTTAATGGTTGGCGGTGGCGATTGTCGTAAAGTCTCGGCCGCGTTATATTCGACACGCGAGCATCCGCGGCGCATTCGACGGCAAGAGGCGGCGCGGCGGCCATATTTCACTCGCGCGGTACGACGTGACCGATGCTCGACCGGCGTGGTGCAAATTCGGAACCGCGGAAACAGTTCTCTAGTCTCTGCGACCTATTTGACAACCGACAATGTCACTAACAATCGAAACGAAGACGCGGCCGTAGATCGGGGTGGATTCGCGCGCGAGGAAAGAGCCAGTCAACGCCGCGCCGAGCACACGTACGTACGTGCCTTCTCTCTCGTGTGCGTATCTCCAGCACCCAATCTTCGCGTCGATCGCGTCTAACCGCGCCGACGTTAGACGCGATCGTTATATAACGCGACGTTAGGCCGGGTCTACAATAGGTGTAGTAAGCCGTGAAAGGCTGAAAGAAATTGTATACGACTTACGTTTCTCTCTGCCTTGCCCTACGTCTACTGAGACAATCTTAAGCATTTACGGATTGTTCTCTGCCATCAGCCTTAAGCCGTAAGAAATTGATCGATCACAAGCGATTATTCTCCTCACTTCAGACTGTGATTGGCCAATCCATGGACGTAAGAATATATGGACGGAGCGTAATGTAGGATTTAGGACGAGGGGACCCAAGCGAGCGCGGTGAGGGGAAATTGGGTGGCGGCCACCGTAAAACCGTGGTGGCGGCCATATGTGATGACTAGGTGATTGTTAAGGCCTTCACACATAAAATTCCGTAAGGACGTAAACCGTAAGCATAAGAAAATGGACCAATCACAGTCGAGAACGTAAGGCAATAACGCAAGCAGTAGCAAATCCAATCTGTTGATTTTCTTACGCTTACGTTTTACGTCCTTACGGAATTTTATATGTGAAGGCCTTAAGGACGCCTCGTGGTAGCGTCGCCGCCATATGTGATGACTACTTTTCCCCTCACTGCTCTGGCTTGACCCCCGCTAGCGTACACTCCGTCCATATATTCTTACGTCCATGGGCCAATCTTTTACGGCTTAAGGCTTACTACACCTATTGTAGACCTGGTCTACAAGCTGTAAGCCTTAAGCCGTAAGAAATTAGCCAATGACGGTCGATTATTCTTCTCATAAGTGGCTGTGATTGGTCGATTTCGTGCGACTTGCGACTTGCCGCGTCTATTGTTGAACCAGCGTTAAGAGGATCCTTCAGCCAACTTTTTTACCGACACAGTCAAATATAGTTTTTGCGCTTGTAATTCTTTTTATTAGCTTTTATGTACAAAACAATACCAGGATAAGTTGCGAACCGCATAGCAGAACATTTTCATACTTAAAACACTCAGTTCAGAGGTCTAGTAAAAAAGTTACTGGTATCTGAAAGTTTCTATTCTCAGTTCTAACTAAATTTCAAATTGGCTTTATAAAATTGCAAAATTTTTCCACACGATTATTAAAGTATGCATAAAGACAAGACCAGGGACAGTCGAGTTTATATATAAAAAAAACGAATAGAAATAAAACTATCACTTTATAATTGATTGAAGTTAGGTAACCTCTTTTATAAAATAATTGGCGGCGATCGCGTTATTTTGTGTTACCCAGTGAAAAATGATTTGTCGATCGATGTCGGAACGACGTCAATTTGACGGTGTCGATGTCGACTCGACATCGATCGACGAGTCATTTCTCGCTGGTTAGCTGCGATCGCTGCTCATAGTTGTTTTGTAGATTAAAACTGACATCGGGCTATTAGTTATAGGCGATTCTTGAATATACAGTAATTTTTTGTCGTTATGTACGTAATATTTGACAATGATCGCATAAGTTAACGCTACAATCGCTACGGTTGTAAAAATTACTTCGAGATAAATAATTATAAAAGCCTAAACCTAAAGTAATTAAGTGAAATACTTATGTCTAGGGTACCGAGGAAAATGCGAGTGTTTCGTGTAGAAATACATGTATATCCCGACGATGAAGTGCAAAAGTTCATTGAAGTGAATTCGGAAACTGGCCTCAACACAGGGATGTGTTGACGGGTTGCGGGATGACGGCGACGATGCAGCGACTGGTGAGTGAATCTGTTCATTATTACTCGCGCTTGCCCTATGTAGTTAAATGGAAATCATCTGCAACTTGAGAAACTTTAATTGATCTCAGAGAGATAGTAATATGAAAGATTTCTTAAAGATTTTCGTTTCAAAGTATTTCAAAATATCAGCTCGTATACATTGCAGTTTTTAGCTCAGTGCTAAAATAGTGTTAAAATATAACACTATTTTAGTACTCAATTTGAGCTAAAAACTGCAATGTATACGAGTTATATTTTAACACTATTTTAGTACTCAATTTGAACTAAAAACTGCAATGTATACGAGCTGATATTTTGAAATACTTTGAAACGAAAATCTTTAACAGTAAATAATGCAATTAAACAGTGATAATCGATAAGCTAAAATGTTTTAAAACGCTTGAAAATGAACGTTCCATCTAATCACACAGGGCAAGAATAATTATTAAGTGACAAACCAATTGCTTCGTGTGTCGCGATTTTCTTCTATTTTCGTTACTGGTTTACGATACGTTATAATTTGCTCCATATTTTATGTTAAGGACACGTGCCAAGCTCTCTGAACTAGAAATTAATGAAATTAAATGATATTATACGCGTCGCTGGATATATGACATCCAATAAAATGCAAGAAGCATTCCTCTCGTTAAATGACGAAAGCAATTGATTAGCGGAATATCTAATGCGAGCAAAATACGATTGGTTTCTGTGATACGTCTCGCTTGAATTGCGAATATTGAATTCCAACGATTATTAGTTCCGCGTCATGATTTCCTGACACATTAAGAAATATATTATAAAATCTATATATAAACTTCGCAGAGCAGTCTTTCACCACTTTTATCAATTATCGTAATTAAACCAATTACGTTTTCGTTGTTTTGTCTTTTAGTTATATTAAATCTCTTTTATTTTTATTAATTAAATACAAGATGACTTTTTGGTATTCCGTATTTTGATGCAGGAAATATTCAATCGATTTAACATCGAGTCTACTCGCGACAAAGCAAATTATTTCACATAAAATTGCAGAAGGATTTTAAAAAAATTTCTGAATGCGATTAGTTTCGTGTGAAAGACTTAGTAAATGACTGCACTTACCTCCTATATGTTACTCTTTCCAAAGAATGAAATGTGAATAAAAAATTCACATTATATATTTTTTAAGATACAATTTCCAATAATATTAGCAACGCGTGCAACGCCAGGCGATGCACAAAATGCATTCACGATGCCGGAACATCACGCGAATACAAACGCGACAATAAAGTGCGATTTCGTGGCATCCTGTATCTATTTGCCGACGCCGAGCCTCTTTTCTTTACAGCGAGTTCGTGCTCGGAAAGAATTATCACGTTTATCGGATTGTAACGCAGTTTTGTTACTTCCGCGAACACGAAGTGTGTCATGTGCAATAATATTCGAAATTGACCTAGGAAAGCGGAATGCCGGCGTTCCAGTTAGCCGCCGCAGCGGCGCGTAATTGCATGGAAAAAGCGTGCGATACGTAAATCCCAGGAGGAGAAGGAAAATTTTGTTATTACGACGCGTGATCGTTGCATACTAATTGCCGCGAAAGTCCCTGACGCTTTTTAAGCGCGATTGCGCGAGACGCGTAGCCCATTAGGGATCATTAAGGACACAGCAGGCAGGTTTAGTTAATTAACTCCGGATACTAATTCCAGTCATTTTTTTAATCGTAGGCCGTAACCCAGCTAGCTGGTGTGATCGGCTCTCACGCGGTGCAAACGCTTCTAAACCGTGAAAATAAATACTCGATACATACTTATCTTTCCGACGTGTGTTGCAAGCACACGGGTCGTATTTCACCAATAAATTCTTAAGCAGCACGTTTATCATGTTGAAATACTTTAACCGAATGTTTTATCTCCTCTCGCGACAAATCTACCTCGAATTTTTTAGAAATATATCTACAGATTTATACGTTGGCCATTTCAGGAACATTTCTTACGTGTTGTAACAAACGTAATATAAAAATACACGTCTAGAAAGTAGAAATTCCGCAAATTCAGATCACAGTTTAATCGAATTCCATCCAAGCATGGAATCACTTAACTCCGCGTTTGCGTCTCGCAAAAAACGGGATAATTTTACCTTGAATCTGAGTTCTCCGATTGGCGGTGCAGCGTAGGGAATTCCCAGGAACGCGTAAATATTTCTGCCAAGTCGGCTGGACATCGTCCTGCCATACAATGTACCATTCGGCGTTTTTGCAATTGGCGCGTTACCACAGACAATATTCGCATTAAGCGCGAGGATGCAGACGAAGCCTAGCTGGATCAACACGTTATTTCGGTATTCCCCCATTTTTAACGCTCTTGAAACGCCGTACAGCCTCGGATTATTGAGAGATTTCGTGACGATCTCTGTAGGCAATGCTGTTAACATAACATTAATTATATTATAATTGCCTCTACATTTGTTTAATAATCAATTGCAGAAGTATCTCTTGACATTATAATTTTAACCGTAATTCCGTAAACCGTAAATCGATATGCGCATTTTTGTTTTGAATTATTACATTGACAAGGCAAATTTTAACGTACGTTTATTTTCATTACATTGACTAAAACAAAGTGTAATTCTTCGAAGATATACACGAATAGATCAACATACACGATATTTAGAATATTAAAAAATTGAAAAACCTTTCAACGTAAAAATGTTTACGTTCACATTAGATTTAATTTATAGTCGATAACCTGATTACAGAGGAAGTGAAATTGTACGTCTACATTACGCTTAAGAGATTGATCACTTTTTATTAGCCGCGACTAAACCACGACGCGAGTTAAAGAAACTGGTTTTCACGTCGTAAATGCAAAGTAGTATTATGTAAAGAGAAAAAAATTTGAAGATCAATGCCAAACGATTTATGATATACAAAAAGAGCAACGTATAACAGAAAATGCCGCGTTATAAACTTCAGAAATAATCGAAAATCACTAAAATAATAGAATAATATCGAGCGGTGATGAGTTAAAGTAAGAAAAATTGATAGATATGAATTATTAAATGTGTATTCAAAATCTGATTCTTAACTGTCAAAGCTCTGAAATGTACGCTGGAAAAATACTCTTCTAATCTTGAAACTTAAAAGGACTCTGTTATTATTTGCCGTAAATATATATAATACTTTTAAAATAAAAAATTAACGCTTGTTTCTAATTTATAGTACTTTTTGACGGGTATTTCCCGAATCTTACTTTTACCATCTTACGTCATTTATTTATGAATCCTCGAAGCAATAAATTTATAGAAATCACAAGTCATGCAACCAGAAATACGAAATAAGATTTTTATACGATATCCGTCACTTAATAAACGTAATAAAAAAAATATATTTTCATGTGTTCACTGACTATTATAAGTTTATTTATCAAAATAGTTAATAAACAAAAAAATTACAGAGATGCAATTGCACACGCATTCATATTTTGTGCACACACTGTAAATAATTTATCAAAAAAGTACTTTACAAGAAGATTTCTTTTGACAATCTTACGTGACAGAAAATCAACTATTTTCGTATAACATCACCAATGTCCGAATTTCTGGTGCTAAGACAATATGTTGTAACGACAAAGAGTTATCGGCAGATTATGAGAATCAAGATGTCAGTAATAGCTCACTACACTCTAGACAATGGACCGTGAAGCTGATATAATGACAGGGTATACCGTGCGGTTTCGTGAGTGTCGACGAACGTGTTCGTTTGGCGAAGGTAGGATTAAGACTGTCGCAGGAGAGAGAGTCGCTCGTTGGATTATTGTCGATGATGGTTAGCTTCTTGACGTCACACTGAGGAACAGCACAAATGTTTCTGGTAGCTTATCTTTTTTTCAATTTAACCTGTTTATCCTGAACGACTATATTTTTTATTGCTCATATCTTTTATGCTGATTAATATAGGAAATACGTTCAATGGGGAGGGGAATGTAACATTACGCTTCTCAATGACGTAATTAATAGAACACAAATTAAAAAATTTAAAACTTTAATACTTTAAAATAAAACATAAATTACAATTTTTAAAACTTTAAAATTATGAAAGAATTAGTTTAAATTATTTTACAATTTTAGCAAACTATGAGGAAAGAAATAATTGAAATGCTATAATTAGGAAAATGGCTTTGATACATAGATACATTTGCTAATTTATATAAATTTAACTTTAGTCTAAAGTTAATTTATTATCTTTGCCAGTCTGTAAATCATGAATTTATATTAATTTCAGTTCTTGTTTAAGATTTTATAGATTATTAGAGATACATCTTTGATTAACAAGTTCCGAAAATATTGCGTTTTCTTATATTCTTAGATGAAACGTGAAGGAAACGAGGAATATGTAAGAAAATGAATTGCAATCAGAAATTTAACTACAAATTGCATATTCTTATTTAATGTTTTCATTATATTAATAAAAATACAACAGATATTTCTTACATTTTTTAAAAGCTTACGTAGTTGCATACATACAACTTAGTAAATTCCTTTATAATATGTAAAATGAAACTATAAATATAAAAATTTCTAATAACGCGTAAACAGATTATACAAATTGTTGTATTTGTTTTAATCATGACTAATTGTACGTACATTTTATAAGAAAATATCCTGCTTTATTTATCTAGAATATAGTTATTATATTAAATTTTTTGAAAGTCACGTAATTTAAGATGACATATTATTATTGCTATAAAATAATTATTTTGAAAATTCAACAATCTTTATATCCAAAATGTGTTCTTTCAAATTTTAATACTTCAATGTCCATTTCTACCAACGCAGTTTAACTTTAATCTCGGTTCAACTTGCTTCATATCTTTTTCTAGTTTGACGACGTGGAAAAAGATAAGAAGTAATTTAAACCGAGATTAAAGTTAATCTGTAGCCAAGTATAAGCGTAGCTAGAACCGCGTGCGCGAGACCGACCGTGTAGTTCACGCGAGTATGCGAGTTGACAGATCCTCAGATGTTCGGATCTCAACAACGGTTGATCCGATAAACTTCTAAGGGCCATAGTTTCACAAACATCGGTTAACTGCTAACCGAAGGTTAATTGATCCTCTGTCTCTTCTTAAATAATAAGATGGAAAAAGATAGGTAGACTGAACCCTAGTTAACAGTTAACCGATGTTTGTGAAACTGGCCCTAAGTGCGCTCAATCGAAAGTTCGATTTACATAATAAAGGTGTTTTTAGTTTTTCTTACGCGCCTCATGAATGGAGATATTGCAATGCAAAATCCGAATTGTTGTAAAACACACGATGCTATCTTCACTTTAAGAAACGTCTTTGTTGTCGTCGTCGTCGTCGTCGTCCTGGTCAACCAGGCAATGGTGGGGGGAAACATTCTTTTCATATTTCTGACGCACTGACGCTCGCAAGCGTCACTGGCGCGGCTGACGTGACTGACATTACCGATGGGTTACGAATTAGGGAATAGAATTAATTGTAAGTTTAGATTGTATATTTTAGTGGTTTAGCAGCGCCAAGTTTTTTTAATAAACAATAATGTCATGCATCAGGATCGATATGTATCCCACAATTAAATTAGAAAAGGCAATCTTTTAATCAAATATTTATTTGTATTAAATTTGTTTGCATTATATTTTTATTGAATAAGAATTAAAAATTTGTCTTTTTAATATTATTATTAATATAATATATTTTTCTCTATTTCTTCCAATAAAATTTTATGCTCAATTGTTTGGATATAACATTTTAATATAAAAAAATTAAGTACCTAGTTTGTATAAATATTCAGTTTAGTTGGCGCCATTTGATGCTATCATTATTTTTGTAGAAAAGATACTTGGGGGGAGAAGATAAAAATGTTTTTTTTTAATATAAATATCTAAATAATTAAGAGAAACTGCAACGTGCCTTACATATTATGAACTTTTTTTAACACACAAGAAATATAAATAATTTGAGACCGTAGATTTATTAGCCACGTGAAATTTTCTTTAATTTGGATTATTTAAAAATTATTTAGTGAAACCAATATAATATATTCGACGTTCTAAGATATTTCCTAAAACATTATAAAAACTTTGACTGTTCGGTTTTTAATTATGTAAGTTAAAATTTTAAAAATTCAATTATAACACACAATTAGACGCAATACAAAATAGCTGCAACGCAAACTACGACGTTAAATAGAGGAAACGAGACCAGCGATCACCTCTATCGTTTGATTCTTCCAGCAGCACGTTTGTACTTCGCGTTACAAATCCACTAGTACCATCTGTCGGTTCCAATAATTCTTACCTACGTATGTTATATTATACTTAGTCGCTTATACTTGGCGCGAGACACTACCGTGTCTCGTGATTTGCGTTAACAGTGTACGATAAGAGCATTACTGGTCTCCGATGAAAATTGGTAGATGGTACTACGAAACATGGTGAAACAATTTTCCAGAAATTTCCCGAGAAGGCCCTTTGAATCAAACTTTCCCTTTGATCTTGTATTCCTGCAAGAATGATTAATCCGCATTTCAGCTTACTTAGCAAACCCACAGACCCAAACGCAATATACTGCGAACGGTTACATACATGTATACATATGTGGTATATGTATACTTGTACCCACATTTTTGCGAGCGATAAACATTTAAGAGTCCATATTTAAGAAAGAGTAGAAGATACTTTTAATTTAAGGTAAAAATATAAACACATGACTCACACATTTGAAACAGATGGAGAGACAGCTAAAGCTTTTTTATTTACATTTTTTAATTAAAAAACATTTTTATCTCATACCCTAAGGTTATTTTTTAATTCAGTATTGGAAGCTGACCCTATGTGAAGGGTGGCTTTGTGGAATGGGGCTTTACCCCTTACAAAGTGGGGTGGAGGATACCATGATGCCGTCCAAACTTGGACACGCCATTTTGTAAAGAGACGAAATAACTCAATAGATGTTCTTATACTTTTGTGACCGTCAAATTATTAAGATCGAAAATAAATAAAATAGATTCCAATTAATTCAGCTTCTTTTGATGTAACAAAACAAATGAGGAAAAGTATACTAGAATGCATAAGAATACTGCTTTAATAATATTAAATCAATTTTGCATATGAAATATCGAATTTCGAAGGCTTCAGTTTATGAAAGGAGAGTTTGCTTATTGTCACTGGTAATGATTAAAAATCGAGACGAGAAACTTATAGTTAACCCAATTGGCTAGTTACTTTATTAGTTTGCTACAACGTTTCGACCCTATTTTTTGGGTCCTTATCAAGTGGTGCTGCAAATCAACAACAAACATAATTATAAAATAATGTAAATTAATAAGTAAAACGGATAGAAGTTAAGAAACGAACCTAAGTCAGTCACCGTCGCCGAATAAGACAGAGTCAAATTATAAAATATATACGCATACGCGTGTGCACTGTGGTTGCTGGGCTCAAACTGATTTGTTAGTCATGTCTTGGGAACAATACAAGGTGATATTGCGAATTATACAGTTTTGATTACACAGTCATATATTACATTTAAGTTTTCGGTATTTGTTTGTAAATTTAACGAGTTATCGGTCTTCTTAATAAAGAACATCTCGGCAATTCCTCTTTTTCTCCTGAGGCGCTCGCTATGCAAAATTCTTGATTTCGACCAATTGAACTCGTGATCATGTAATACACGGTGTTTGCTAACCACGGAGTGGCAGCTTTCGTCAGCTTTTTTTTTATGTCATTTCTATGTCTTGCAGTACCACTTGATAAGGACCCAAAAAATAGGGTCGAAACGTTGTAGTAAACTAATAACGTAACTAGCCAGTTGGGTTGACTATAAGTTTTCCGTTTCAATTTTTATGAATTAGTTCTATAAAATATGATTTTGAAAAATATTACATCTAATGTTAAATAAATTCAGATTTCTAAATTACATTTCATTGCTGGAATAGAGCGAAGCTACATCACTTCGCTCATTGTCAATTAAAGAAATGTTTGCATAAAAAATTTTTAAGACGAGGCCTTTCAATTTTAAGGGAGAAAGGGGACTTTTCAGTTTTTTGTCTTCAACAATTTTCTATCCGAATTTTTCTTTAGCTGAACGAAGTAATCCTATTCTATTCTATCTAAAGAATACGAATTGTATGTAAGAAAATTTTTGTTTTTTAATATTAAAACAAGTAGCGGAAGTCATTTCCTCTTTTTTTGAAATTCTTTTAACAATTTACCGCGAATATTTTTAATAAAAATCTGCTAAAAATAATATACTTTTTATAATTTATAATCTACTAGATTGGAATATAATTCGCTTTACCGGGAAGACCAATTACACGTAAATTATAAATAATTCCATTAAAAATAAAAATTTCTTATGCAACGTTAAAGTAAATTAAACATTTGCAATTTCTCTGTCCCAATCGGTGGCGCCGTCTGCAGTTCATAAGATTGCATTCCTTCCCACCATTTTCTCTATTGCATGACACGATTTTACTATCTGCGCTTTGTTAACAGATAACGAAACACCAAATACATATTTGTACAATTTTTCTAGCTGGCTATCTTATCAAATATGTACACTTTGTGTTCAAAGTCATGTGTATAGTTTTCAAATAATTAGTGTTAAATAATTCACGTTTTGACATGAAGAACTACTTCAAGATATAGCATTGCATCGGGATCAACATTGATTTTAACTTAATTTTATAAACTTTATTGAGTTGATTTTGTAGAATTAAATGAGAAATGTAATAATTACATACATTTTTGTCTTCCATTATTATACGGGATATTAGAATTCAAAATTATTGTAACTGGGTTTTAAATTCATTGAATTTTACAGTTCTATTATTCTATGTTGATATGGTA